AGAATACGCGTCGGAATTTATATTGATCATTCCGTCTTGCACTTAAGATAGTGGATAATATTTAATTTCAGATTAAAAATTTTTTTTTTTTTGAAGCTGATATACATATATGTAAAGTTAGACACAAAAATTATTTATTTTCTGGTAACAATACATACTATTTTTGCTCAAATTTTCTATCAATTATTCAAATTTTTAGACAAATTGATCATCGCTTTCGGTTAAAATATGAAGCTATTAAAGCTGATTTTCTTAATTTAAATTAATCAAACAGTTGAAATGTGCGATGTTTGAATATTTTATTTAGACTTCAATGAATATTTAAAATAATTTCAAACGATCTGTAATAATTGAAAGGAGAATTGGAGATAGAAATCTATAATTTTATAATGTTTCTTATATGCAGCGCATAAAATAGTCAATAGAATTTTATTTCAAATTTTATTATAATCTTCAGAGTGTTGAAAACTGGATTTATCTAAAAGAGATGAATATGGATACATTTTAAAAAAACATTCATATAATTTGGAATTTTGGAATATAAAATATGTGACGTGTAACGCTTATAAGGTTGTATGAAAAGGATTGTGAATTGAATCGGATAAAATTGAGTGAAATTGAATCGATATATGAGGTTTTAATTCACCTTTCAAATTTATTGATCGGTTATTACCGTATTTGCTTGAACGAATGATATCTTGGGTGAATGTAGATCTATCTGTTTATCCGTCGTTTGAAAATATTTTATGACGCGTTGCCATTTCAAGTATCTGACATGTTGCTTCATCGTGGAAAGGATAAACTTCCGTACGACAGCAGTTATATAGACAAGATGTAATGCCTTTTCTCTCCTCCCCCCCCCTCCCCTCCCCCTTTTCTCCCACGCTTTGCCTTTTACCTTCGGCGGTAAAAAGCTAGGCACTTTTTTCACTTGTTTTCGGTCTCGGGTGCGGCAAAGAAGCCTAGGGCGGCCTTGTTTCTTGTTTCTGTATTTCTGTAGTACACAAGACGCGCATGAATTCATCTTTTATTCATGGTCGGCGACGGCGCGGGATACGCCGAGGTATATGCGGTTCGTGACAGGAACAGGGAGTTTTGCATAAGTGGTCTTAGATTTTGCAACTTTCGTATCGTACAGAACAAGAATCTTGCCAGTGAGTTACCGCATGACGCAGTGAAGGACAATAAATGAAGCTATTGATTTTCCAAACTACCGAAAAGACTTCAATCTTAGCCCCGGCTTTTGCAATATTGTGAAAAAATGTGTCAAAGGCATTTATTTGTCTAAAGTCCTGTAACACGCGTGATACATATTTATCGATCGAAATTCATTCTTAGTATGTCATGTCTATTTTTCTTTCGATTGGACAATTTTTTTTCTCAAATATTTCTAATATTAATATCCGTTTTGTCGAATTAATTAACGTTATAGAAAATGAAAAGTTATCTATTCTCAAATACTTCTACCTCCTCGCGAAATCGAACCTCGAAAGATAAGCGGCATTAATTTTATACAAAACAATGAATGCTTAAGCAATGACTCAACTTCCATTTTCATTTGAAATTTTATTCAATTAATGCGAACATTGATATTCTAATTAAAGTGGCTTTCCTTTGCATAATTCCAGTCGACATAATGTATACTGTAGTGATGGAAATGGGAAAAATTAATTCGACTAAAAGTAATCTTATTAAAATGAGCGAGAGGAAGGATAGGTCTCGCAAGGGAAAAATGTAGGCGTCGAAAGCGCGAATCGTTTTGCTACCGTTATATTTGCGGGAACTCCGGCAATACGTAAAGCGGAAGAGAGAAGACCTGAAATACTCCCGGCGTAAGTAAATTACGACATGAAATCCCCGCTCTCCGCGCCCAGCTGAGCTGTAAAATCCAGAAATCAAAGGAAGAAGAGTAAACCTTCCGCGGAGTTCGCATAAACATGCCGCTTTCCCCGAGAGCATTCTGAAGTTTTCGTGCCCGTTTATGGCGGTTGCGGGCTTTAGCATCGACAAACGGCGTATATCGATTTGTTTCTGACGAATATTTAAATGCGACTTCGATTTATGTCAAAGCGGGTCGTCTGCTCTTTTTTAGAGCGCCGGCATGCCAGATAACGTGCATAACTTGAAAGAACCCGACGTTTCACTTTAGCGATGCAATTTGTTAAAAGCCAGAGAATGTTGCGCAAATATAGAATGTCATATTTATAAGCGCGAAGCACTGAAACAGTTCTTATGTAACGAATATTCTTCTGTTTTAGCAAACATGTATTTGTAACAAAATTAATCGGTTTGGTTCCGTCAGAAAATGACTCGCAATTTAAAAAAGAAAAAGCAATAACAGTCTACAATTTCCGATATGTTTCATATAAGAGCCAAATACGACAGTCGAGTTCCAAACGACGCAAAACGATTTCATGTCGGAAAACGCGCATTTAAAGTCGGCTTACGTCTCATTCACGTCGCGATGTCGATACGGGAAACCCCGTAGCTCGGAATTTCATGGAAACGTGCGTCGCCTGTCGCGCGGAGAGAACCGTCTGTCGACTCCCGGAATTCCATTCCGATTTCTGAAGCATACCGCGGCCGAGTATCGAAGGGGAGAGAGAGAGAGAGAGAGAGAGGAATGTTTCCGCCACACCTCGATGGCGTATATACATAACCCAGATTGCCCTTTTTCCGTTCTGCTTTTTTCCAGGTTAAAAAGAAAAAAGGGAAAAGCACACTCGCGCGGCATCTGGCACGGCGTCGGTTTAACGCTCCCAAGTCCACTAAAATATTCTAAAATATTCCCGAGCGAAACTTCGATTTCGCAAGAGGAGAGCGCGTAATAGACATCGAACGACGTTACGGCACAGAATCCGCGCTGTTCACGGCCGAATATATTCAAAATACGAATCGATTGGCGATGTGCGAGGGGACATAATCTTAAATTTTCCAAAGGGAGGAAGTAAGTTGGCATAAACGTCGAAAAATGCGGGGAAATGCGAGTCGACCGAATAAAGAATTCTACGCAGCAACGGTTATTGATCTTCTCGCGTGCCTGTCAATTAACGTTACGCGTTCGGCAGCGAAATGCAAAATCCATCGCGGAGGATACGGAAACGCCGAACGGAATAAAGCTTGAATATTGATTGCGTTGTTTACGCAGATTGCCCGTTGATTTTCCTGGAGAGTGGCGCTAAATAAGACAAAGAGCATATGCGCCGTTGCGCAGTGCGCGCCGCTGCGGACCGTAAACTGGGGCAATTTGCCGGACCGGTGGGTCCAGTATTAAAGTATGTAGTGAGGACCGCAAAAAAAAAAAAAGGAGCAAACTTGCAACTCCCGCGCAAAAATACCATATCGACCTACCGTTTATACTTTCAGCTTGATGCATCACGTTCGCTTCCGCTTTCAATACCGCGTGCCGTACGCGAGTATTTGGGACGCACATGTTTGCACGGTTACGCGAGACCTATATCCCCGTAAGGTATGGAATACCTGTTTGCGTTTCCAATCGCAAACTCGACAAATCGGAAGAGCTCGGGCTTTGCAAACAGTTATTATAACGCCCTATGCGTGTGTCAAGCTTATGCTACGAGATGAACCGAGTAGTCATTGATCCAACGTATCCATTCTTTTTATACAATTTGTTTTGCGTTTCTTTTTGCAGCGGATGTTGTTAATCTATTGATATTTTCATTTATTTTAGTAAACTTTTATCCAACTAGTTTATTGAACTTCCGTATGTATCTTTCAAATAGATCCGTTTTCGAATAACAACGGAAGCAGATAAACAATTTAATTTGCAACGGAATGCAAATTTACTTGGCATGTATAATTTTTATTATTATATTTTTTGGATAATAATAAAAAAATTCCGACATCTGACATTTCCATAAAGACGTCAATTTTCTCAGCAATAAAACGAAACGTTATGTCATATTGGATTTCAAATTTTCTTCTCCGTCAGAGGAGAAATAATTCTCTGCTTGTCTCAAAGACTGAGATTATACAATTTTTCATTGAACAAAATTGTGCGAGCGTGTATAGAAATATATCACTGTCGTAATCATACAAAAGTGGAATTAGTCACGCATGTCGTCGTCTTAGCGTGTTGTGTAATTCATTCTTTACCAAGCACACACAAGATGATGAAGATAAAACGCATCGAAAAAAGGAAGATAAACGATATTATCATGCAATGTCGAAACAATTCGTGTAACCGAGAAAATTCGTATTTCAGCTTCGAAAATGTTGTTGCGGAAAATGTTTCTCCCGAAGAATTGCTTCAATATTTTTCAAACCTTATATTTACTTGTCAGTTATATCCCAGGTTTCCATTTGAATGGCCGTTTCATCGCCGCGACACAAAAACCAATCATATTAGAAATAGCATATGCTCCTTTTCTTTACGGATCACTCGAGCTTGGCATGCGCGTGATAGGAAACGGAAATTAAATGAAAATCGTTCGAACCCGTCTGTATAACGGAAATGAAAATCTAGAAAATCTGGTATGAATAAAGGAATAGAGCCGAGCAGCATTGAAACAGGCGGAGAAATAGCACGAGAAGAATCACGTAGGAAATACTGATTATTAATATTTCAATATACGTTTAAAGAGAAAATAATTTCTTAGTCTAAAATTATTCGTCTGTGCATTTTAATTGATTACGCAAATCATTCAGATTTAATGAACGTTTTTCACGACTGATATTTGTGTGACAAGTAAGATCTGTCTTTGCGTCATAATATATTGCAGCATATGTAATATTAATTATCTATAGTGATATACTATAAACTAAAAAATATTTAAAAAATGCAAAATATAAAAGATTTACATTATACTACAGATTACATTATGCTTACTAATATTTGAAAATACATATATATTTCTTTAAAATTTTTTTAGAAAAATTTAGAAAAATTCAATAAGTTTTCTTTAACAAAAATAATATAAATATAAATCACACTAAAAAAAATAATATATATTTAGTTACATAAATTGCGTGATACTCACGGTTCCAGCTCCGGGATCGGTGATTTTGCACGGCAAAACTGCCACGCTACCACTTTGAGCAAGCACCTCTCCAATTGGTCCTTCAGGAACATCTTCATTTTTACCCTCCGGGACATTCAATGGGGCGATTACATTATTGGCACTTGAATTCTGCTGATGCTTGGCCTGGCTCACTGCGGACATAAATTACAACAATGCTTTTTGAAGAAACCATTTTGCTCGATTTAAAGCAACATCTGTGTACGACACGTCGTATCAACAAATTAATATTAGTAATAATTTTTCCTTTTGTGGCAAGTTAAAAGTTTCATCAAAACTGTTTATAGAATGTTCTACAAAAGAATATAAAATTGTTCAAATTTAAAAACTAATGTAGATAATTATAAAATTAAGCAAAAAGTTATTGATAAAATATATGTTTTAGACATAAAGGCTGTTTCTAATATAAAAGCAAAAATATTTTTAAAATATAGCAGATTTTTTCTTTATTTTTGTACACAGCTGTATAATGAGCTTCATTATGCATATTTGAATCTTTCGAAAATATATACATAAATTTGTGAATATGTTACGTGTGTTATTAAAATTATGATTTTATAATTTTTTTTAAATATACACACAGTAAATATCGTGCGTTACAATTCTTTGATATAGCTACAGATATTGTTGAAAGAGAATTTTAGAGATAGATAATATGTGATACAAAAAACAGAAATTCCACTTTCTATCTTTTAGGTTTTTTTACTAAAATATTATACACATTTTCAATGCTCAGATTTTCGCGCAATTTATAAAATATGTTCAACTAAATTTTTCGGAAAATTTAATTAAATGAAAATTACAAAAGGACTGCAGTAAAGTATAAAAACGAGAAGATTCCAAACCACATTTATACCGCCTGTTCTTCCAAGAGCTGTTAGTTCTAAGGCTGACTATGATCGAGGATTAAGGGGTGATTTCCATGGCTGCCCGGTGGACGAAGGGCGCGAGAGCACGACGCAGAAGCACCCTCTCGTACTCGAGATTAATGCAACCGCCATCGCGACGATAACGCATAACCCGAGCGTCGCCCGAGTGGCTTAAGTGAATAACTTAGTCACGGCAATTACGACAGTTCGGCCGAACGTTTACCGGCGCCCAAGGTGCGCCAAACCTGGCGAACTCCCGTGCGGATATTTAGCTGAAAACTCTCTCTCTCTCTCTCTCTCTCTCTCTCTCTCTCTCTCTCTGCCTCGTTCCAGAATTCTGATCGTTCCCTCATCCACGCGCATCTCGGACTTTCTCGGAAAAAAAAAATTTCTCCCGCAAGCGTCTCGCGCACAAGCTTCAGTTCCAAATATCCGGAAAGTTTCCATTTCTGTTCGACGAGTTGAAAGCTCAAGCTCAAAACTTAGCGTCTAGTATCAACGATGCACAAAGTTCGCTTTTAAAACGCAGCAGTGTGCACGCTGCCAGTATGCTCACGGCAGTATTTTCGCTTATATGTTCTTTTTCGGTAACAGGGCGCAACTTTCGCTCAGTTTTTACTTCGGTTTTTTGCCGCGCTGGGCAAATGCATTAGCGAACAAGAAATAACGATTATAAATATGCATTCGTTATTTGAATACAGAACACCTTGCGCTTTTTTATGGTTATTTTTCTATTTTCGCGAATATACTTTTTATTTATCGATATATGATAATTATAAATAATTGAATTTTTTTACATATGTTTATGAGAAATGCGGAAACGTTTCAAATATTAAAATAATATTCTTTATGTTTAAATTTTGTTTAATTCTTCAGTACAAATATCCGAAAATATCTATAATTTTACTATGTCTTTATTGAGAAAGCATTCATTATATATTCACGCTTATATCGTTAATGAAATTTCTCTCTTACTACATTTTATTGGGATTATAAATAAGACTTAGCAATCCGATTAGGCGCTGTTATATCATCACGATATTGCTGAGTTTACTTGTAGCAATAATTTATTCATTTAAAATCATATTTCATTAATTACGTCTGAAATAAGGAATTAATTTTCAGCTGGATTTATCTCTGTTTTCAATAATTTTCTACAGAAATCTATGAGGTAATTTTTGCATAACAATTAATCATAATACGTATGTTAGTATTTATCATATCTTTAAATAATCTTTATTTTAAAAAAATATCTGTATTAAAGATAAAATAAAAAATAAAATGTATATATATTTTAATTTTATTCTTTGAAAGAAGGAAAAAGTTTATAATTTCAATTAATCTATAAACTTATAATGTGATACCTGACAAATAATCGAGTCCGCTGAATGAAATTCTTTTTTCATGCAAGTTGAAAAAGTCCGATCGTAACACGGAATCCTCGTTGCATGCGCGTGTTCTGCATTTAGAGTTGATAACACAAGAGGCTGTTACAGGCCAGTCGATGCTGGTCAGCGTATCACACGTCCCACTTGAATTTCCTCGTCGATCTGAATTAACGTCGCTGCCACCGTCGACATACGGTATTCCAAAATGATTATTCGCCGGAAATTTTCACGGGAAAAATACCCGATTTCTCCGTGACTCAAAATTAATAAAAAAGAGAGGCGGTAAAACGAACGACGCCCTGAGGGCTTATTAGGGTGAATATTCCCACCGCGTAGAAAATTATAGAGATTTTTATATTCCGCATATATAATATAATGTACGTGTATTATAATTTTAATGAGAGATACAAAGTTTGAGAAATAATGCATTACAATTAAACTAAAGTACTTACTTTTATGCCCAAATTTATTTCTCTCACGACACAATTTGTAAACATAAAAATTAATAATTAATGACGCAATTTTTCTCGATAAAATTATTTAAATATGCACCTTCTCGCGCTAAAATATTACTGAGTTTCCGCGCGTTTGCGTGTTTATTTCACCGACTAACCGAGTAGATCATTTATTCAACATTCAATGAAAATTTAATTCTACTATTTTGATGAGATATCTCTTCCCATACGAAATATAGGATTATCCACTATGAAAATATTCCATTACAATGATACGAATTTCTAATTACAAACCTCCGAATATGAGCTCCGGATATTCCAAATAGTTACCGCACAATTTCGAAATTATATGCCACGAATTATTTCAGGAACGATTAGCGCAGATATATACCTGCGTTAAATTTTAAATGTCTGTCTTGAAGATTTAAACCTGTCTTGAATGGCGATGAGGTAAAACCGTTCGAGACGCAATTTTCCAAATTGAATTTACCAATGATTAGTACTTGCACGTAGCGGAAGATTAATCTGGCACAATTTCAGAAAGTTTGCCGAATCGGGAATCGTAAAACGGCCCGGTAATAGGGGCCGGTGTGCATTTAATTAAACTTTCAATTAGATCTAAAGCTACGGAGGTGCTTACGACGACGACCTAAATTTTCAATACCGCATCGTTCGAGAACGAGACGTTGGCGCGAATTTGTCCGTCGCGCCGACGGTTACGATGTCCCTCGAGAAGAGAGTCATCGGTCAAGAAGAACATCGGCGGTCCGAACAAACGGGCGGTCTCTCGATTGCAACGCGCCCGTCGAGAAGTTCGACGTTAACGAGGCGAAAGTGCGCCGCAACGGGTTTTCAGCAACACGATAACCGGAAATTACTTGTCAGCGATCGAATTAAGTGTTTTCCACGAGCCGGCACGAGAGTAACTCGCGTTGAGCGCAAGTACGGAAGAGCGTGGCGTGCTGCAGATACTGCGCGCGCGCACCGGTAAGCATCCGTGTTTCTTCAGCGACGGCATCATTACCGTTGGAAATTGTATGCCGCCGTGGGGCGAATGCCGATGAGGTGCGCGACGGAAGGAAATTAGGGACAAAATTATTTAGGCTAGGAGAGTCGCTACTTAAACACGCGATTTGCGAGAGGAGAATGCGCGACGTAGAAATACGAATGAGCGCGCCGTTTCCTGCCATTTCTAACTCTAATCCTATAAAAGCTTCAAAATGCCATCGACGAGATAAATTTGAATACATAAAATCCGAAATGACCGAAGAAATACAAGTGAAGAAGCAATGTATATTATTTGTTGCGTGACAAGAAAATTTTAGGAAATTAAAATCACGAGTAAAATTGTAAAATTTCACATTTTTATTCCGCGCATCGTTAAAGAAACTTTGTAAACTCACCTGTGAAGTACAAGTGTATCTCGAGTAGAATGCCCACCACGATCCAGAGTGTCCTCATGATGGCCGCAAAATATTCGTGTCCTTCTCTCAGACATGCACCTTTCGCGAAACACCTGGAATCCAAGAGATAGTTTTATTAATAAAAGAATGGATATTGAAATAGAGATTTGGCTTCAATATAAAATCCCGCTTTCTCTTTCCTGCTTTAGGTTTTCTTTTTTTTTTCATCATGACACACTTTGCACGTCCACCTTCAATTTGTGAGGCCATATGCGCTCGTAAAAAAGGAGTTACGACCAAAGTGGTGGTCGAGAGTGCCGGAGCATGTCCCCGAACTACGCACAAGGTGCCCCTAACGTGGTATTAACTAGTTTCGCCAAATAAAAAAGGCTAGATTTTTTGCGAGGTACGTGCACGTTTTTCTTAACGCTTTCTGACGCACTGATGTAGCTTTTTTTATAAAGTCGTGTGAAATCGATGGGAACGTGAATAACGTGTCTGGGCTCTCATCCATTTTTGATCGTCCCTTACTCCGCACGTTTTTTTTTTTCAATAAATAATTTATTCCTTTTTGCACAAAAATAATTCAAACAATGAAGAATAGAATAAACGCTCTAATAGATAGAATGGAGTAAAAGCTCAATTGTATAAAAAGCCTCACGCGTATGATCGAAATTCGAAGAAGCAATTGAGTAAAAAATGTAAGAACATATTCAACGAAGCTTTTCTGATAATGCAAAGGGTGTTCAAAAAAAAAAACAAAAAATACAAGAGGCATAAAATTTTAAAAATCCAAGGATGATATATTATCATAATATCGTTAAAAGCTAAAAGCTGCAAATCTATAACGAAAAAGATAGATAACACAAAAATGTATTCTCACACAAAAATAAGATATAATCTCTATAGTAAATTAACTGCAGTACGCTGTTATATAACCAAGAGTTGACCTGAATGTAAAAATAAAAATGAGAAAGCAATGGAAGAAGATAGCGCGGCAGAAAGAATACCTGGCAAAGAAGCTAAAAGCATTGGGAGAGGACATCGAGCATTCCCGCTGGGAAACAATGACAAAACAGATAGGGAAACAAAAAGATAGCAAAAGTCTTTTCAAGATGGAGATGCGCGATCACGTGGGAGATACAGTGCGCTGGTGAGCCTCGCAGGGTGGGGGAGGAGGAGGGGGGGGGAAAGCACATCGAAGAAAGTATTCGATGAATTCCCGGGACGGAACAATGGTTGAACCAGCGTGATAATATTTCGTTCCGAAGATATCGAGGAAGAAGATTCTGTCAGTCCAATAAATATTCCAGCCAGAATATTATTCGTATCGCGATTCGCCGCGATCTCTCGGGATCGCCGAAGTAGGAATATTTCGAAAAGTGGCTCGCGCGTATACTCGCATAATTGCTGCCCGGGGATCGTTATACATAGGAGAAAAGACACAAGGTTATTTGCCGAAAAGATAAATATGTCGGATTGTGTAGCTCGAATATCGAAACGGAAACTGGGACTGCGATTACTATCTTGGTTTGTTGCTTTGATCGTTGATATCGGCGACAACATTACAAAATGGGCGCATTTATAGCATTTTGATAAAAGATAGCCTAATTTAAATTTGATATATGTATTTATATTGCGATTCTAGTTTATTTAACAATACATCGTATCATGCGTAAAATATAAAAAAAACTATATGATAGTATATATTCTAACAAGAGCGTTGATCATATTTGAAGTTCTTTTCATATAATTATTTTAATAAGAAGAATGTGTATTGATCCTTTCACTATTCTAAGCGAACGAATATTTTGAAGCATAGCTTTTTTATCATGAAACTGTAGACTATCTTGCCGAAGATGAAAAGTGCAAGTTAATAAACTGCGAATAAGCGAAACTTCGTATATTAAAACTAACTTGAAAAGTGTTCTTTTTTTAATTTCACTGTTATTAATATCTTTCATAGAGCAGCTGCATATCTTTTAAAAATTTATAATGCACTATATCTGAATGAAAGGATTAAAAAAAAGTATATAGCTCCGAAGTATAAGGTTCCCTCACTTGCCGACATCCTATAAATCGCTTCCTGTTTCAAGCAACGAGAAGATCTTCGTAATTCCGTACACGATACGCAGCGCTAAATCTATATTGGATTTGCAGCGAGAACGGGACTCGCAAGTTCTCTAATTCACGAGAGGTATTCGATATTCGCGTTTTTCTTCCACCACGACAGACTCGCGATACGTTACGCTTTTCTCATAGGTTGTGATTCGACCATTCGTAAACCGACCACGAACACCATATGTTTTCAGCCGGCATATATGTTAGAATTTTCAAAGCAAGCGCCGCGCACGCTGTATATCCCGACCGACAAGCGGGAAATATTTTGGAGCTTTCTACGCGACTGAATTCTGCAAAGCCATGACGTAATACACTAAAAAAAACCCTCATCTTTATAGGGTAATACACGAAAAAAAAATCTCACTTTCATATTTATTACTTCTTCATTTTATTTAGGAATTATTTATAAGTATGTCGATAAAACAACATATTCTTTAATTAATAAATGATTTCTAAAATACACATTTTTATATAATTTTTTATTTAATAAATCTTTTTTTTTTGTTCATCTTTCACAAAAAAGCGATTTTTTAAAATAATTCTAATTGTAATTTATAATTTAGATCTCGGTAGACAAGCAAATGATCTATGTTCTCAACTATCTTAAATGTTTAACGTTATTTTACGACGCAGAGGGATCAAGAAGGGCATTCATAAAACACGAAGACAAATGCCTTCCTCATTTCATTCATGAAACTGGCACACTTTCAATGTTGAGCGGCCGCGTTTTACTGTCGCATGCGTGTTTCACTTGCGACGCGCCACTTCCAGACAAATGGCCACACTGTGCACTTTATTTCTTGTCATACTAAGAAGTTCATTATCTAGACAGGTTAACAAGCACCGATGTACTTGTTCCTAAGCCTGCAATCAATGAAGGATTTGCGGAACGCGCGGCATCCTCCCTTCTTCTCACTAATACCGAGGGACGGAATTGCGCGACGCGGTCACGCGAGCTCGCAGTAGGGACCTTATAAATTTTCTCGTCTAAAACAATCTTCCCGAAATAACGTTTCCGCGCCGGCATCTAAATATTTAACAGGACAAAAGCAATCTCGCGTGTTTCGGACGAGTCGTAGCCGACCAACGTGCCGTGCGTGATTATTCGAGTTGTCCGATCGTATTTATATGTAACGACGCGTCGACCCCGCCAGTCAACAAACGCTGTAATGAATATTGACTTCAAGCGTGCGCAACTCGTGCCCGCGTCTACTTGAAGAGGATATCTCCTATTGTCAAAACTAGTTTGAAATTAGATTCAAGCGATTCGAGCAATGCGAGCGATTTCTGTGTTCCTACGTTAACTTTACCAAAAATCAGCACGGCTAGCATGAGCAGATTTCGATATTGTTTCTAAAAGGGAATTGTTTCTAAAAAGATAAATTATTCTAGCCATACAATTTTTGGAGTGATAAAAGATGGAGAAATGTAAAAGGTTAATATAATTAAAATGACAAAAAGTATAATAATAGATAATTAAAAATTATACGCAACCCAAAGAGATGTTTAAGAATAAAGTCAATAGATCACAAAAAGTCTGAATATCGTTAAGAATTGTAAATACACACGATATTCGCGTCGTTAATACTTTTATGGCCGCCCAGAAAGATAAGAAGCAGATATCTCGCGTCTTTTATGATCACGCCTTTTACATTCTGAATAACAGGTGTCACACGTGTCGGTGTAATGTCAAGTAAGATAAAAACGAAATTTTATAAGAACATGAAAATATGTAGAACGGTAAAACTTTTTGCAGATTCACCACGCATTGCAGTAATGCATATGTTATATGTATAATAGGTTTGCTTGTATACGGAAATGTGAGGGCCGCGAATATTATTCCAGCATTGTTGATGTAGCAGTCGCGCTGAGAAGATACGTAAGTACGATCGACAATGAAAAGCAGAGAAAAGCAAGTAAGATTGCGCGAACCAAAGGAACGAATACAAGAACGGGGCGAGAGAGAGAGAGCCATATGCAAATCGATGGCTCGATACGGCTGGCATACGCGGCGTTTCAATGGCGGATTTCAATAGACGCCCGAACCCTGTCAACGTGTCGCTGATTGAGCTTTTTTAAATGGAAATCCGGGCAGAAGCGACCGATACTTTAAATTACCTTTCCTAAGAGAAAAGATAAAAAAAAGGCGCCAAATGTGCAACTGCCGATAAAAGTCTTATATTTAACTCCTATATTCAACTGTTATATTTACACGTTCTAATACAGAGCGTTATTCTATTTTATTACATGAATTGTCAAAGCATATTTTATTATCACGTTTCTTTATCACGTGCAAAAAACGCTGCCCAGCTTCACTGTCTAATTTTCTGTTATCTGTTTGGATACAAATAATACATATTTTAACATACATCTTCTACGCATAAATAATTTTTTGAGAAATAATAGTTGCATCTTTAAATCAAACATTTTACTACAATTATTGCTTACAAAAAAAATAAACATTAACCGTTTCTCACATTCGGATACTATCCCGAGTCGAAATTTAAAACCTACTATAAACCTCATACATGGTTATTTGTGCCTCTAATAATGTTCCTTGACCTTCAAGTTCTATCTTGAAAGTGTTATGTCTTCTTTTGGCCTTTCTTTAATCTTGTTGTCCTAGAAAACCCTTATTTTATTGATGTTAAATATACAATTCCTACTTTTGTTCTTACAACTCCTACCTCTTTTGAATCTCCAAATCTTATTGAAATTTCTAGCAATAAAAATATTAATATTCAATCTATAATTGAGTTCAATTTCTATTGTTTCAGATTAATATAATAAATGTTATAATATAAAATAAATAATAACAAATAAATAGTAAAAAATATTTTAAAAAATTAAGTGCAACTCAGTATTATATTTAGTATTATAAACAACTAAAAATTTATTCAAATAAACAAAAAACAATTAAAATTTAAAATTTTATTTTAATATTTAAAAACGGCAATAAGTAACAATTTTTAGTATCAAAAGAGGGAAATAGCCAATGTAATGTTATATCTACATAAAGCTTACATTGGTTCTCCAAATTCGACAAAATTTATAGGTTTAATCTAGGCTAAAAATTTCGACTCGGGTGAATGCTCTTTATCTGATATTTAGCTTTCGCAATTAATATTTGTATTCTTATAAGATATAAATTATCTTGAAAGTATGTCATAGTTAAGCCTAGAAGATAGTTAACATGTGTGTTTCCAAAAAATTTAATAGCCACCTTCGTGGTATAAATAGTCGGTACGCCTACTATTCATCACAGTACAAAAGAGGAAATCTCTTGCTACATTATACAGTTCATACTTCTTGCAACTCCTTGAAAAATGAAGATTTTTCTGCTTGCTACGTGCTTACTGATTATCGTAAGTATAAAGATACGAATAATTTCTTCTTATTCATTCTTTACGTATAATATAAAATGGTACGATAATTATCGTTAAGCCATTACATAAAATTAATTATAATATCGCACATAAAACTTTAATTGTTAATATATATTGATATCAAAATTATTTTGTAATATAAAATAGCTTGCACATGTCCAATTCACTTAAATTTTAGACGAAGGTGAAAGCAATTGACATAAATCAAGTGCAATTGTTTAAAGAGTATTTGGAGAAATGTGAGAAAGACAGTCCTCTAGGGAAAATACAGGATGTACCATGTAAGTAACAAAAATTATAATCAAATATTAATATTAATTGTTACATTGTGTCACAAAAAATTTTACATTTAATTTGTTGTTCAAAAGAGATTTTTTAATGTATTTATTTATTCATTTATTTAAAAAAAACTCATCTAACTATTAAAGAATATGCACAGACAAAGAGAATAATGATGCTTGCTATTATTACCATAAGTATGAGCACTTGTAGAAGTTAGAAAAAATTTTTTTATTAATAGACTAATATTCTGTTACAAAAATTTTAGCTTATATTACGGTTATTTTAGCTTATTTAACGGTATTTTTATCGATAAGTGAACACATATCGATAAAAATACCGTTAAAATAAATATAGATGCACGAAGAATCTTACTTCTTTAAGAAGAGAGAATGATTTGTAGTCGAATTTAAATAAACTTTGTCTAAAAAATATAATTATCAAATGACGTATCGTATACTTAGAATCACATTGTCAAATCTATAACTTGATTGTTGCAGCTAGTTTAAGACCCGATGTGCTGTTCTGTGCGATAAAGAATACGGGCTACGTACGTATATAGATACAGATGAATTTCTAAAGAAGTATAAATGCATACAGTATAAATTTTAATATAAATTTAATATAAAACGACAAAAGTGATAATTTCGAAATAAAATTAACGATTATAATAAATTTATGAGTAACATTTTTAAAGATTTAGAATTTTAATTTTTGTAAACTTCAGTTTTTCTAATGTGTAATGTTATGAATTTATTTATTCTAGATTGATGTAAATGATTACTATGCCATAGAAGGAATTGAAAAACATTGCAAGTCTATCACGATCGATCCGGTACAATGCCAGAAAATAGGCTTCTCGTGCTACCAAGGTTAATTATTAATATATTTTTGATCTGCTTCCTTACTATTTATTTTCTATAAGAGTTTTTTTTACATAATTTTAATATCTATTTTAATTTGCATGATTTTGTATTTTTGCTTTTATAATTAATATATGCGTCATTAATTTGTGTAAAATTATTAATCAAAATTAATAGAACTGTGTATTAATTTTTTTTTAAATATGTACACATTTACACAAGACATAATCATATATTATTAAAAAATATATCTAAAGTCTATAAAGAATAACAACAATTGTGACTTAATTGAAATTTTTTAACAGTAAAAATATATATTTTATAATATAAGCTAGAGTAGACTAAACATTAAAATTTTAAATAACTTTCTTTATAACTTTTTTTGCAGTTTCTAACTTACAATCGTGTACAACAAACTCAACACACGGCAGCAAGGAATCCGGCCTTAAATTCATACAGTGTGCAGTATTACACGGTATGATGGGGATAATTCCTATATAATTATATTCTTCGCTAGGCGTGCCTCCCTCGATTTGCAGAATGATTCTAATTTGAGTCAATCTTAAGTCAATCTTTTCTTAAAAATATCAAGAGATGTTACAACTTTCCTGTATCAAATCGTATATTGTAAGTAAATAAATATATCTGCGCAGCTAACGTTTTGTCTATTTAAAATTAACCAATAAATCTAATTTCATTATCCTTTTTTCGTCTCAAACACAATTGGTAATTAAATCGAGCTAATCTTTAACACGTTGAATGCCTGGTGAGTTTTATATGTCTTATCGATCAGGTCTTAATAAAATTTTTGTTACGTTTAGTATATAGTGGTGAAGTATTGTATAAAATGTTTCAATGGACTATATTATGATACTTTGTAACCTTTTCTTGCTGGGGGTCACCGATGATGGTCAAGGCTTGATGCGTGGGTATTGTAATGAATCATCAGTTTATTTACTTTTACCAATCGTATCATGTCTGCCGATGAATAAGATATGTAACTGTTTCAATTTACGCTGTATGAAATTGCTTTCTATTGTGTAATTATTTTCTAATTGCATAAGATTTAATTGTTGAAATTGCCCTTAAAGTGAGAAATATATCATCAGGTGAAGAAAATGTCTTAAAGGATTCATCAAATAATTCATTTTCAACACCCCGTCCTAAGCGTCGTCGAATGTTATTTATAACTGAATCGATAACTGAAAACTAACGTCAATGAAAAAAAATGTACAATAAACTAATTTGAAAGATAATTTAAAATTAATCAAAATATATTAAATTTAATTTAATATAAATAAAAAATATTTAATGCATAAAAACTTGGCGCTGCTACATCAAATATTTATTACGTGTAATAAAACGCTGTTCAGTTATGCTGTCTAATTTTTTGTTATCTATTTGGATAAAGATAATAACACATATTTTAACGTATCATATCTTTTACGCACAAATATTTATATATAATTCTCCAAAGAATGATATCTTTAAATTCAACACAATTTTATCAAAATTATTGCTCACAAAAGAATAAACATTAAGCGTTTCTCATATTTGGATACTAAATACTCTTTATTTGATAATTAGCGTACATAATTAATATTTGTATTCTTACTAGATAAATATAAATTATCTTGAAGGTGAATCATGGTTAAGCCTGGAAAATAGTTAACATACGTGTTTCCAAGAAATTTAATAACATCATTGTGCCACTTTCGTGGTATAAATAGTCGGTACGTCTACTATTTATCACAATATCAAAAAAGAAAATCTCTTGCCACGTTATAAATTTCATCTTCTTCTTGAAAAATGAAGATTTTTCTGCTTGCTACGTGTTTACTGATTATTGTAAGTATAAAGATACGAATAATTTTTTCTCATTCATTTTTTACGTATAATATAAAATTGTACGATAATTACTGTTAAGTCATTATATAAAATGCACTATAATATCGCACATATAACTTCAATTATTAATATATATCGATATCGAAATTATTTTGTAATATAAAATAGTTTACACATGCCCAATTCATTTAAATTTCAGACGAAAGTGAAAGCCATTGACATAAATCATGTGCAATTGTTTAAAGAGTATTTGGAGAAATGTGAGGAAGACAGTCCTGTAGGGAAAATACAGGATGTACCATGTAAATAACAAAAATTATAATCACACATTGAAATTTATTATTACATTGTCACAAAAAATTTTATATTTAATTTGCTTTTAAATTCTTTTATTTATTTTCTTATTTTTGAAAAAAGAACTTACATAACTATTAAAGAATATGTACAAAAAAAGAGAAAAATAAAGCTTGCTATTATTACCATAAGTATAAGCACTTGTAGAAGTTGGAACAAATTTTTTGATTAATATCACGACTAATATTCTGTTACAAAAATTCTAGTACACTTACCGATAAAAATACCGTTAAAATAAATATAGACGCACGAAGAATCTTACTTCTTTAAGAAGAGAGAAATAATTTGTAATCAAATTTAAATAAACTTTGTCTAGAAATATAATTATCAAATTACGTATCGTATACTTAGAATCGCGTTATTAGATCTATAACTTGATTGTTGCAGATAATTTAAGATCTGACTTGATATTCTGTGCACTGAAGGAGGCAGGCATCGTACGTATAATTACAGATAAATTTTTAAATAAGTATAAATGCGTACAGTATAAATTTTAATATATATAATATAACAGAAAATGATAATTACAAAATAAAATTAATGATTATAATAAATGAGCTCGTAAGTTTATGAGTCATGTTTTTAAAGATTTAAAGTTTCAATTTTGTAAGCTTCACTTTTTGTAATGTGTAATGTTACAAATTTATTTATTTCAGATCGATAAATATGACTACTATGGCATAGAAGAATTTGAAGGCGTTTGCAACACTTATATGATCGATTCGATAGAATGCCAGAATATATTGTTCTCGTGCTACCAAGGTTTTTATTTATTAATATATTTGACACACACAATGATCTGCTTCCTTTCTATTTCTATAAGAGTTTTTTTTACATAATTTTAATATCTATTTTAACTTGCGCTATTTTGTATTTTTAATTTGTTTTTATAATTAATAAATGCCTTAATAATTTGTGTAAAATTATTGATCAAAATTAATAAAACTATATATCAATTTTTTCTAAATATGGAAACATTTACACAAAAAATATTCATATATTATTAAAAGATATATCTAGAGTGCATAAGGAATAATAACAATCGTGGCTTAATTAAAATCTTTTAAAAAAATTAATATATAGTTTATAAGTTAGTAGACTAAACATTAAGATTGTACTCTCAAAACAAATCTTTAAATAACTTTCTTTATTTACAGCCAGCTTAAAGTTCTCTACACATGTACAATGTCGAAAAGCAATACGAAGCGACAAGGAACGCATTCTAAATATGATACAATGTACGGTATTACGCGGTATAATGGCATTAGTCCCTCTATAATTATGTTCTTCACTAGGCGTGCCTCCTTCGATTTGCGGAATAATTCTAGCTTTAGCCAATCTTAAGTCAATCTTTCCTTAAAAATATCAAGGGAAGTTACAACTTTCCTGTGTCAAATCGTATATTGTATGTAAATAAATATATCTGTGCAGCTAAAGTTTTAATCTATTTATAAAATTAACCAATAAATGCAATTTCATTATCTTTTGTTCATCTCAAGCACAATTGGTGATTAAATCGAGCTAGTCTTTAATATCGAGGAAAGAACCAGAACAATCCGTATGTTGACTGAAATCTTCAGATACGCTTTCCCTCGCATGTTGAGAGAACGTATATCTTTTGATTAAATGCATTCTCGTTTAAGAACTGGAGTTGAAAATCGGAAAATAGGTCGAATGAAATGTTACTCACATTCTACGGGATACGCGCTCCAATTCTCGCCAGGGCGATAGATATTGCGGATAATCAACTTCAACTGTCCCTATTCAAAAGCTGTTGGAGCCGCGACATATTTCAAACGCTCTGCCATTATATACCTCTCGAAACGAGGGTAATGATAATTAATATGTTATCAACCGCCGCCCACGGTTAAATGATAAATCAACGGAGCGCTATTTACGTCACACGATTGACAATCGCATTGTCGAGCTAGCGTATATACTTCATCGAACACGCATTACAATTATCACGCAATAAAAAGATAAAATAATCTCCGCGAGCGCCACGCGATTTAATCACGAGATCCTTCAATCCCTCAATCTTCTTTTTCGTCGTCGGCTAACGATCCGAGATATCGTCGTTAGTTGGTTTTTATTATTGTATCCTGTATGCATTATACTCCGTTCTCTCCGTATTACCGCTGCGCACTTCGAGTCGCATATGTTCGCCTCATTATTTTCTCGCGCGATCTACAACGCGGACTGGCGACGATTTCGTTCCGTATCGCGACGTTGTAACTACGTTAATTAGATTTTTACCTGCCCGCGGCATTTTTATCTCAACGTACAGTTAGAAATCAGCGCGCAAATCTCGAAATTACCGCTTCATAGCCGCGTTTTTACGCCGCGACGCATAATTTGCGCGATCTGAATTAGAATGGTGCGAGAGGCTACAACAACTGGCCGGTTATTTCGCTTTCTCACGCGTCTCTTACAACAAGCAACGTATTCCACGGTTAAGTTCACGTAATTATCATTTTCCTCAAGTTTAACGTTTTCTTCGTTAGAAAAAGTGAAACTGAGTATTTGTCTCATTAGTATAATTATATTTTAATTTACAAAAAATTTGAGAAAGTTCTATTTCAACATTTATAGCGAGCAATAATATTTATCACAAAATATTGTAATCAGAAATTCACATTAACAACAAAATTGTCTGTTAATAAATCACCGGTGTCGCGTTCAGTATAAATCGAAACGCAGATTGAGCGCTTGCACGATTTAAAATTGATGCACCGGAGCGTTCCTATTACTTTCGGAATGCGTCCGCGATAGCGACGGGAATTTATGGAGTTTCACGATTCAGCCTCGCGTACGTTCCATCGTCGAAATTTTAAACAGCATCGGGAATAATGCATGCGCGTGTCGGGAAGGTTGGAGCGCACAAGCTAATCACAGCAGTCGTGCGGCTTCCTCCGATATTTTACCGCGTTTGCTGCTCACACGCTGATATGAAACATTACGCAGGAAGTTTCTGTAATCACCATCCTGCGGAGAAGCGTGAGAAGAGCGACAGGGGGAGGAGAGCAACAGAAGCGAGCGCGTGTAAAATATGCGGAAAAGAGGATGACGACGACAGAGGCGGACGGACGAAAGTGCCGAGGGGACGCGACAGCGTACTAAGCTGATTTCGGGCTAAACGACTGCGCCCTTTTTCCGGCGCCTTAAACGCGTGCAGGTGCGCCCCGCGATTCTCTCGCGCCCACCCGGATTAGCCCTCGTTCCGCCCCGTGAATAATTTAAGCGAAGCCGAGATATGTAGGACGCAGAACGAGATTTCGCTGAAGTGATGTACTTAAAGAACGTCAGCCCGTGGGAAAACAATCGCGCTTTAGAAGATGGTGAATGCAAAGCTACCATAAATATTTGACGGCGCTTAAATCGAATTGCCGTGGAAATGAAAGTACACGAGATGCTCCTTTATGACTTTCCTTCCCTTTTGTGGTGATGCGATTGT